CGTGTGCGGGAGGCTGGGCGTTGGTTGGGGCAGGGCCCCATCTTGACCCTGGTGCACCCTGTGGGGCTAGCTGACAGCCCTCATGCCTGCCCAACAGGAGGCTGCCAGGCTCTCAAGGTCCTGCCACCCCCGTGTGGCCTCGGAGCCTGCTGCTCTGTGGCCTCCACACACAAAGAGCCTGGGTGCTGGGGCTGGCGCTCAGCTGCTGGAGTGGGGAGGGTGGGCAGGCGGGTGGGTGACAGCCACCAGCTTTCCAGAAAGGCCAGGGTGGAGGAAAGAGTCACCCAGGTGATAGGAGCCGGTCGGCGTGGGGGCGGGCGGACCCCAGCCCAGGACCCCAGTGAAAGGTTACCGCTAATTGGCAAGCTCCTGATGGGGCCTGCATCTATTTAGCACCCCCTACCCACCCCAGAGACTCGGAGCCGGCTTGGCACGGTGTGTGGCTCGAGAGCTCCCCGCCGGAGTCTGGCACAATCTGTCTGAAATTGTGAACGTGGAGCCTGTTGGGTTTTTGCATTTGTGTTTTCCCTGTATCTCGGTCCCATGTCTCCCCTCCGCACCCCACACCCCCTCTGCCCTGCACCTTGTTGCTGGTGGATCCAGAAGGGGCATCCTCCCCAGAAGTCCCCCCCACCCCACTCCCAGACCCCCTGCCATGGGAGGTCTTGCAGGGTCAGGGGGCAGCACTGTCCCTGCCCAGACCCTGCCACCGCCACCTTGGCCCCAGGGCCCAGCTCCCACCCCACCGTCCTCCCCGACACTAACACAGCTTGTCCACCCTGTCGCAGGGGGCAGATGGCCTGTCGGAGCCGGAAGGCATCTCTCTGAAGCGGGTCGCTGTGGTGGAAGATTTCTTTGACATCATCTACTCGATGCATGTGGAGAGCCCAGCGGAGCCCGGCAAAGCCCCCAAGCACGCTGGGCAGAAGAAAACCTACCGAGCGGTGAGATTTCTGTCTGCCTCTGCTGGCAGCCCCAGGGCCTTGGCAGGAGGCCACGGGCTCTGCACATGTTGGGGGTTGGGGGCCGGGAGCCGAGGCGTGATGAAACGGCCTTTGGGGGCACAGGGCAAGGGCAGTGACAGCCATGGAAGCCGTGGGGTGTGGGGGGCGGGCTCTGTGGTCTGAGCACAAAGGAGAAGCAGGTTGAAGGGAGAGAGGGAGGGAAG